CAATTTTTCGCTAATTGGAGGTCGTTCGACGGGTACATACCGGTTCAAAACCGGATTCTATGGCCTCACTACAATGCCCGCGGAATTCCAACGCGCAATGGATTGTATACTCGCCGAATACCCGCAAGCGCATGCGTTTATCGATGATATTTTGGTCGTAACCAAGGGAACAGTAATAGACCACATAGCAACGGTGGAGAAAATTTTAAAGAAACTGGATCGGGAAAATATGTCTTTAAAATTGACAAAATGCAAATTCGCCCAACGAGAATGCGAATGGCTAGGACATAAAATAACTCCGACTGGAATTACTCCATTGGTTAGAAAAACAGAACCAATAGAAGCACTAACGCCGCCACGGACTTTGTCGCAATTAAAATCGTTTATGGGGTCGATACATAGTTTGCATAAGTATCTGCCGGCGCTGGCCGAATCATCGGCACCGCTGCGGCCCCTATTAAGCAAAAATAACGAATAAATTTGGACACCTGAATGTCAGAACGCGTTCAAAAATCTAAAAAAAACAAGTTTCAAACATTGTTGAATTACGGCACTTTGATATCCACAAGGACATTCGCATAGTGTGCGATGCAAGCCATAATGGGCTCGGCGCGGTGTTGGAACAGTTGGGAACAGAAGGATGGCGCCCAATTTCGTTCGCGTCGCGATATCTTAACGAGGCGGAAAAGAAATACTCGACAAACGAATTGGAAATGTTGGCAGTTGTGTGGGGGGCTGAATACTTTCGAAATTACATACTGGGCCGAAGTTTTTTGATCGTTACCGATCATAAAGCCCTGATATCCCTTTTGAACGGTAATAACAAGAAAAATAAAACGATGTTTAGTCGTTTAACCCGCTGGTTAGATCGACTAATTCCCTTTGATTTTCAAATTGAGCATAAACCGGGGGCTAAAATTGGTTTGGCGGACTATTTATCACGGCATCCAAGTAAAGAAGCAACGCCAATTAGTACGTATGATAATATGTTCACGGTGGCAAAGATCAACCTAATTCGCACCGCGCTTGGCTTTAATACATCCAGGGGACCTAATACATCCAAGGGACAAAGTTGTACAGCGAATAGAAAGCCTTCTATAAATAGACTGAAAGTTTCGTCATATAACGATTCGGTAGAGGGCGGAAAAACATGTAAGCGGAAATCAACCAATCAGATGCAACCACGTGATTTAAACCGACGGCCAAGCGACATGCGCGCTGGATTAGTTGGGGCTATTATTCATTCAGAACACAGTTGTTCAAAATTATCCAATTCCAATCTTCAAAATCAGAATATTCTTACATCCAGCCCTCAGAATTTTAAACCGAATAACAACATGGACCAAAACATGGGCAAATGGCAGAAATTTCTCAAACAGCATCCAAGCCTAAATAGTAGTAGCGACGAAATCGAAGAATTGACCCCAAATGTATCACTAGAAGCCATTACCAAAGAGACAAGATCGATACGCACAAATACAACTCTCTCGTTACCCTCGGAATTCAAAGGAGAAACAGTACCACCAGTGGACCCAAACCTTGTATGTATGTCAATTATCCCGCGAAACTGTAAGATCGTTAATAAAACTACTGCATTACCTGACCTGTTTAACTTAAAATTCATAGAATCAAATTATGTATCCGACCCCCAACTGAGCGCTATTCGCGATCTCATTGTTACACAAGACCCGGAAATACATGAAAAAGTTACTCGAATGAGCCGCTATCACGCTCAATTCGTCAAGGATTTCTCAGTGAAGGAAAATGTAGTTTGGATGGACGATAAATTAGCAATCCCAATTAACCTCCAGTCAGCAATCAATAACAGAATACACGCGTACCATCACGGGAAGTCAAATATGTTCGATGCCGCAAAGGACGTCTGGTATCCCTATATCTACCGCTCAATAGCCTCCATTGCCGAGGGGTGCCGTGAATGTACTGCAGCCGGTAAGAACTTGAAGACGCTAATAAGTAAAAATCAACTGGGATCTGTACCAGAACCAAAAGAACCGAATGAATCTGTCCAATTAGATTTTTGGGGCCCCATTAATTACTTAAATGAATCCTCTAAATATGTGCTCGTAGCGGTCGACCGGTTCTCTCGTTGACCATCGGCAATGATCTGTGGAAATAGTCGTTCGGACAAAATATTGAAATTCTTGAAGAGTTATATATCAAACCACGGGGTGCCACGAAAAATCCATATCGATCAGGGAACTAATTTCATGTCAAATGCGGTCAAAGCTTTTTGTAATGGGGAAGGCATTGAAATCATTAAATCACCTGTAAACGACCATCGGGCAACCGGGTGTGTCGAGCGTACTATTGGAAGTCTTAAGAATTCAATCCTTACTTTCGCTCACGAAAAAAATCCTAAACCCTTGGAGAAAATGGTCGAACGGGCCCTTGGTGCTCTCAGATTCTCAAAAAACTCAACACTTAGAATTTCGCCTTTTGAAGCTCATCATGGTAGAGAAGCAAACACCGTTTTACGGAATCTTACTAAAAAACCATCGCTGCAGAATCTGGATTGGTCACGGGTACTAAAAACTAAAAATGCTTGTTTAGATAACGACGATCCTAGTGTGCAAGATATGCCCCATCCAGCCGACACAAACTGGGGTGTACGATCAGATCTCGACTATGACATTAAAAACAGAACTCATGCACGACGCCTTACTGTGGATCAAGCTGGGAATCAGGACGACGAACCGTCAATACGCAAAAGCTCAAATCCCGCAGGACAACTGGGACCATCCGGATCATTGTTTCAGCGCACTGGAAACAAAAACTTAAAAAGGTATAGACCAGTTCATTCTAAAATTAGATCTGAGAGTGCACATACACTGACGTTAGATAATGGAGTTGTGCTTAGGAAATCGGGAGTGGCCACGAAACCCATACCGAAGAAAAAATCAAGAACCGCAGCCAAATCCGTACTACCGATACCAGTGATCGAAGCGAACAAACGGGCTACTCAAACAACACTACCACCGCCAACCCCGCGCGACGTGAAGGAACGATGGATCAAGCGGACTGCGGAAAAGAATCGAAAGAGGACCGGGCGCCGATTCGAAGAAAATTACTCTGAATCGGAGGAAAGTGAGGATCTACCGATTATCTCGGTAAAACGTACTCCACAACAAGTAACGACCAATCCGGAAGCACAAGTAGAACGCTCAGCAACAGCAATACCAGAGGCTGAAGCTGAAACCGACCAGGACACCATTCCGGCACTAGGCGGCGAGTTGGATGCTCCAAATCCAGGGGTGCAAGCAACGGAGAATCCAGGGGTGCAAGACCCAGCAAACCCGAAAACCACCGGCAAGAAAAAGGGAGCCTCATCCAGGAAAGCTCGGCTGGTCTCTTACAGTAGCCAGGGGGACAGCCAAGACGAGACATCATCCACAACGTCTAGAAGAAGTGGGCGGAAAAGAACGGCGGTCACCAAAATGGGGGGCGTAATGATCGACTTTATCAATCAGAACAAGGAAGGGAAAAATTGATCGTCGAATCCTTTAAACTTCAAACTTTGTTAAACTGTTCTAACCCAGGGAGAGGGTGAGTCACTACTGGCTTAAAACTCAATCGTTATCACTATCAGTGATCCTTTAGTTATTAACAAAAAGTCGTTATTATAAAGTCTGAGTTGTAAACTGTAACATGGAGCTAGTAATTCTTTTCAACTATCTGCAATCAATCAACCATCTATTTTTCTAACCATCTATTTCAGTCATTAAAGTAAACCTGCGAAATTATTCTACTTAACTAAAGTTTTCATTATCGAAGGAGAAGTGTCGTATTGAGTAATTTAGTTCATTTCCAAAGCTGTCAATCAAATGTTCACTATTGGTGCTAGACTAATTGATTAGCAGGTGTTTGTCCTTGGATCTGTCTGTCACCCTTGGATATTGTTTCTAACCACTCTTGATGCTAACTTTGCAAGATTAAGTTACTGTATAATTATCTCGGAATTAACAATTGCTCGACGACAGTTTTACCTTCTCGACATGTCATAGGAGATTAGGAGCCAAGTATTGATATAAAGCTTCAGAGGTCTCTGAAGAAGTGACTATAGTCTGGAAAAAAGTCAAAACCATAGGGATTTTTGCTAGAAGCGGTACTTTAAAACAACACAGCGAAGGCAAATTGTTCGCTGGATATGCGCGCAGTTTAGTGTAGATAGCTCTTTGCACAAGTCTTTAAACATGTTCTAAATTGTAAAATGACTCACTTAGAGAAACTTTTTTGGGTTCTACGCACAAATACTGTTTTTGTATATTTTGGGTTAGTTCCTTCAGTTCATTCAAAATATCTTTGTTCACTTCGTTTCCAATACATTGTATGTGCAACACAGTTAATCAGTTGGTGACTCCAGTTTTGGGTAACCAGGGACTTCGACACTCTTTTGAATTTAAACTTTTGAGAAGAAATGAAATGAGAAGAATAGCTAATCGCAGAAAAAATCCGTTTATCAAAAACAACTATTCACAGGCCTTCCATGCAATTTTGTGGACATAAAGTATTGCATGAAAAAAGTATGATTCGCTTTTTGTGGAAACTGTATCATAAGCATTTTTAGTCATCCCGGAAAGCTAGCCGTTAGGTTTTGGATTCGAATATATCTACCAAATGTGAAACTTGTTTATGGCAATGAAGATTAAATTTGATCCAAAAGTTGCCTCACATTTCCGACTGTCATTATAATGCAAAAAAGTTTCTACCAAAAATTGTATTCAGTCTTTCGTACTTTTTCAGGTTGCAAGCAATCTATTTTTTTCGGTTGGTAGATTTATCAACCCATTCTGCAACGTCGGGAAAAACTAAATTCTTTGAAAAAAGTGTAAAAAAAACCCCATCACTGATTGCAATTTTTTAGAAACATCAAGTTTTTTTGACCAAAATCTGGGCACAAAACCACTATCCCATCTCATGGAAAGTTTCAAAAATTTTAAATAGAAATTTGAATTACTAAAGGTATTACAAAAAAGATCGCACACAACAAACAATTTATAACAAAATAATGCCGTTTTTTCAAGTGAGTAGTTTAATAATTTTTGACTAACAAAGCGTTTTTTAGCCTATGTCATCTGCAAATTTGAAATTAGCGGAGCAAGGTGTTGAGTTTGCACTTTCATCTGTTTGGCTCATTCTCAGCTTTTCAAACTGCTTTTTCTGCAAATTTTGTTCACTCGGAAAACTTTGAACCTCGGATTGAACAAAATTGATCTGCGGTTTTGCTTCTTTTTTATCAACCTGAACACTTAATAGTGTTTCCGGTGTGTTGTTTTCATTTGGCAAATCGAATGAAACAGTTGATATTTTGCGATACATGTTTTTTCCACTTCTCGTGTCATTGAATTGTGAAGTGATTTTTTTTGTTTCATTTCCTATGTAGTTTGGGTTCGGTCCAATTTTTAGGGTTAGTCCTTGGTCGTTATCTTGGATATCTGCATAGCTGATGCTGTACTTGTAGTGGAAATTATCAGGATTCTAAATAAAAGAAATTTCATGAAGTTTTATTTGGTTGGATTGAGTTTAAACTTAAACTTTTTTCATTATGATGAAAAGGAAAAAAAAACTCTCCCTAAAAATGAAACTTCTTTGAACCATTGAAATTAATCAAAAAATATAATATTGCATATTTTTAGAAAAAATAAGCAATAGACATTATTATATGGGAAAACATAATACAAAATTTGCCTTGGATAACCAAATGGAACCTGATCTAAACTACATTTTATGATTGGATAAATTAGATATTTTACCAATGTAAAGTATTTAATATTAACCAATCATGATCCATCTGACTAACAATCCACTTATTTGTAAGTGCTGAAACTACTTGTAATTTCAGCACCAGAGAGATTTGAATTTAACTTAGAAGCTAGTTGAACTCTCCCGAGTACTTCAGCAGCCGCAATAAACCAGTATACCGTAGATCTATTGAGCCTAGCAGAGACTAGTTAAACAACCTGAGACTAGATAGCATAAGAGTAAGATTAGGATCGGTATTAGACTAAGAAGTTGCACGAATCTATCCGGCCGAAAATAAGATAGCGTGACGAGCAGACGGTGTACCCTATCCGAAATTACTCTATGAGTTGACCACATCGGTCCTAACTCAAAGCTCTTTGTTTTCTAACTGAATTTGAGAGTGAATTGATTTGTAACTGTGAACGCCCCCGACAAGATTTGGCTTTACCTTCTAATATATACAATAACGATTGATAAAAAGATCTCAGATCGTTTTCCTAACTTCTGCAGTAATATACAAAACATGTTTGAAAAATATTTAGTGAAAAATCAAAATAAAAATTAGTAGCATGACAATAAATGGTTAGTAATTATAAATCATCCTGTTGTTCCAGCTTCATCACCTAAACATAACAGCATTCATAAGCTCACTAATATCATAAAAATACTAAATCTTTTCTTTACACAAATTTAAATCATTTTAAACTTAAATTCACTTAATTTTAAAATCAGATCATCAAGGCTTATCCTTGGATCTTAAATCATTTTCTATTTAATTAAATTTAAAACTTGATCATCAAGGCCTATCCTTGGATCAAAAAGAACAACTTTGTTCTCCCCCACCCACTTAACTAGTGTCTAACGACCTCAAACGTCGATTCACTATCCAACCCTTTCTAAAAACCCAGGACTAATAGAAATTTTTGAACAAAACTAATCATTCAAATTAGGATAAACAGTGAAGAACTTCGGTTATTCATCCTTCACTTGATCCTCCCTCTTACCAGACCCAGGATAAATCTTAGACTTAGTAAGTTTAAAATAGTATCTAACGAACTACTCGCGTTCTAATTATACCTGAACCTTGTGGATCGATTTACTATTCTCCAACCCTGAACACAATCACTACCCTTAAGTAAGATTAAGTAAGTTAACACCTTAGCTTATACTAGCCACGAGAAAGTATAAAATCATTCTTCGGAATCGATATACTTTTCTCCCCAACCGTGAACAAATAGACCCAGGTTAGGCTAACAAAAAAATCGTAAGGACTAACAGTTTAAGCAAATAGAAATCATTTAACAACCTTTTGCACCCGTCATCCTAAACCTTATGTCATTTAAAAACCTAGGAAATAAACAAACAATCGTTTTACACAATTGTGAAATTGATAACAAAAAATACGACCTTGTAATCACACCTCATACACAAACAGTTGGATACGTTAGAACAAAACGACAAACATTAAAGAGAAAAATAATAACTAAACAAAGACAAATAACACGAAAAAGATTTTCAAAAAATCGAAACGCATTTTCAGAATCAGAAACCAACAGTTTAGACGAACTTTATAAACTAAAAGAATCAATAGATAAAAATTGCCCAATTCACGATCAATTATATTTCTCTGACTCAGAAACAACTTCAAATTCATCAAAAAGAGGAAAAAGAAGAATAAAAAAGCAGTATAAACACAAACCAGTACATTTATACAATTGGAATCAACCAATTAGACACAATGATAATTACATATTAACGGTCATCGAACGAAAAAATGAGCTCAACGCACACCCCAGGTGAAGAAAGTCCAGATGATGATGATATTTTCCCCTTTATCGTAGATGCAACCACTGATAGAGGACAGCATATATTTTGCAAAAATTTACTCTTAAATTTGTTTGAACCCGGAATCAGTCCATGTAAAACAGAGTTCCTAGATGTAAAAATCAAAAGACAAATTATCGATCACTATCTAAAAGATATATGTAACCTAACACAACAATAAGGAATCTACTCCATAGAATTCAACTCACCAAATCAGAATCACAATAAATATATAATTCAAACAGACGACCTTGATTTAGAATTTTCAAAAGTATTCTCAGAATATATAAAAAGCATCCAATATCATAACTCACAAAGAGCAAACTCCATATTCACCAATGAAGTTTTTGCGATAATATATAGTTATATATCGATATTAGAAAACGAAATCCAGATACCAAATGTCTCACCGACAGAAACATCTAAACATATAAGAGTACGACATGAAATCACACTACTCTCTAGTTTTCTAAATATAATTAAAGAAAATTTCACGAAAGATGAAGTTTCCCAACATACAAAACACGACTTACAAAAAATTTTGGCATGGTTCATAATAGATTATTTCACACATAATATTGATTTAATTTCACAAGCAAGAAAAAATTTTAGACCCCAAAACTCAAACGATGATACTGCCATCACAGAACAATCAGACTATGTTTGGGACCCCGAATGGTCTCATCCCGCATTCATAAACTTCCCACAATCAATCTCAAGTCAAGCTATAAGTACGATATCTTATGTAAGAGATTATGTAAGAGTAATACCATTAACCATTGATGCAACACCATTAAACTATAATACATTTTTACCCGATATGCAAAATAATAGTTTAAACTCTACAGTCATACACAATGAAAACCTCAATGGAACTAAGAATCTTACTCAACAAGATATCCAGACACCATCACACTTCATAAATGAAGAAATCGTACACACAACAACTACACAACAAAGTATTTCACCGATACGCCCAAAATTAACAACACCAAGAAATACAAATCCTTCACAAACACAGGTAACCTTACAATCAACCGTTAAACCTTCGGTTGCCCCAAAATATTCACACATGGATTACCAAACATACAGACCCATGACGATACCGCCAAAAACACGCAAAACGTTCACTAGAAACAATTTTGCAGACCATAATTATAATTACACACATCCATCAAAAACAAATTATCAACCACGAAAAAATTTTAGTAATTATACAAGATCTCGAAACTGGGATAACTCAATGGCACCACCTAATTCAGTAAATTTCCAAACAAATTTACATCCTCCACAGGATCGTAGTGAAAACTATCCATTTTTTCAACAAAATAAAAATAAAAAACAAACATCTTATCAAATGGATTACTTATCCTCAGATGATGATTTCTTACAACCAGATAGATTAGCACCCTATAATCAAGAATATCGTGGACAAGGAATACAGAAACCACATACATATCATAGAATTTTTTCTCCACAACCAATAGATACACAAAACCAACAACCAATTCAGCAACAAAACCCAATTAATACACAATCTTTTCAACCAATTCAGCAACAAAACCCAATGATTGCAAACTCGTACCAACCAACACAAATGCAAAATGAAATACCACTCCCATATTATCTTCAACAACACGAAATAACAAGAAATCAACTTTCAAATTTTTCTCAAATGCCAAATGCAGCAGAATCATTACAAATGACAATGAATCCATACCTTATGGGTGGATCATCAATAACATCAAATAAACCTTTAATGGTATTCACAGGAACAGACCCTGAATATTCTGTAGAAGACTATTTAAATGCAGTAACAGCAAATTTGATTTTAAATATAGGACCTGAACCAATTAATACGCCACTACATCAAAACTGGATACATCGACGCACAGCGTTGATACAAACAACTTTAGATGGCGCAGCCCAAAAATGGTTTTCAGTATTGCCTATAGAAATAAAATCAAATTGGAAAAGGTTTACACAAGAATTTTCAAAAATGTTTGACTCCGAAAGAAACAAACAACAACAAAGAGTTTTATGTAATGAAATTCGCAGATTACCAAACGAAACCATCAAGCAATTAGCAGTACGAATCGAAACACTAGTTCGAAAAGCATATTCATTAAATACACATGACTATAAAAACACAAAGATGACAGAAATCTTAATGATGACTTTAACACCGCAATTAAGAAAAATAGCAATAAACAAGAGAGCATCCCATCCTTCTTCAATTCGAGAACCCGATTTAGATTTTCGAAAACTAGTAGACAAACTAGAACAAGCAGAAATCACAATGAAACTCGAAGAAACGGAAAATCTGAAATTACAATACGTTAACAGAATTGAAACAGCTTCAACAAATATAAACAATATACAGGAATCAGATACAGACCTCGTTGAAAAAATCACTGAAATACTAAATATTTACGAAAAACACCCAAACTTTAAAGGCAAACCATCTTTCAAAAAATGGTGTAATTATTGCCGACGATACGGACATAGTATTTCTGAATGTAGACAAAAACAGCAAGACAATCAAAATAAACCTCAAAAATATAAAGAACCAAATAAATCATTCTATCAATACATGAAAAAAGATCAAAATCTACCGAACAAAACAGTCTACAGCAACAACAGTTCAGGAAAACCACTCCCGAACAATACAAATTATACAAGAAATCAATCACCATATAACTCAAGTTATAGAGGAAGATCACCAGAACGAAGAAACACGCAAAATTCATCACAAAATCACTACAATAGACCAAATAGTCGAAATAACTATTCCAGACCAAATTCAAATACACAACGATTTGTTTCTAGATCTAATTCCCAATCAAGAAATAATTACTATCCAAACAATCAATCACGAAATTCATCATACAATAGGAATAGAAACTACTCCA